TCCCACCCCCCACTCCCCAACCAGAGGCTCAGGGTTCCTGAGCCAGTGGAGCTTCCACTGTGACCACGCCTGGGGAGACACCCGCGGGCTGCAGAGGTGAGGAGTCAGGAACCCTCACCTGTGTGGGTTCATGTCACACAGAGTGACCGACGGGAAGAGCTTTCGCTCCGAGTGCACGGACACGGTCATGATGACCGGGTAGCTCCAGTACTGCTCAAAGAGGAGCCCAAACTGCCAGTCGAGTGCACCCAGGGCACCCAGGAACAGCAGCCCCCAGGATGCCGTCTTGAGGCGGTTCTGGCTGGAGCAGACGAGGCGGATGGCGCCATGGATGGTGGCGTTGGTGCAGAAGAAGGTGAACAGCTCCCGGAAGGAGGAGTGCAGCTCCACGAGCCCCTCCCCTTGCCCCTCCTCGTCCTCGGGCTGAGGTGGCGGTGGCAGCTGGGCATCATGGGACTCTGGGGAGCCACCGGATGCCTGGGCCATAGCTCCTGCCTGCGCCCAAGAAGCAAGCTTTGGTGTGGCCCCTGCCTGGTGCCTGGCCTGACTCCCACTCAGGCCTCCTCACCCCAGGCTGGGAGGACTTCCATTCTCTGTCCCCGGGAACTCTAGGGACAGTTGTGTCCCTCGGCCGCCTATGGCACAGCCCAGCCTGCTGATGCTTGAAAGAGGTCCCTATCAGAGGCTCGGGACCAGTCCTGCAGCCATCCCCCCCCAACCCCTGGCCGGGCACCAGGCGGCCTCCTCAGGCATGCCTCATCGCAGCCGGAGCTGGGTCTGGCTGGTGGGGATGGGGACAGTGGAGGGTATGGTGTCTAAGCCCTGCCTGAAACTGTTTGCAGGCTGGCTTGAGGCTGGGTGGGTCTCTGCTAACTATCCCCCAAGTGGGGCAGGGGCCTCTGGGGGAGGGGCAGGCCAGGTGGCCTGCTTGTCTGGGTTGTGTCCTTGGCCCAGAGCCAATGTGGAAAGTCTGGGGCCCTGGAAAGACCAAACTCTGGGCCCCAACGGCCTCTACCAACCCTCAGTGGCCAGTACGGCCACATTTGATTGGGACGGACAGAAGCAGGCTGCTCGGCCACGTCTGGGCCAAGGGTCAGGCCTGAGTGCCGCTCAGTGCCGTGGGCCCATGGCGAGGCGTCATCTACCAAGTTGTGTCCCCAGCGAAGCCCTGTTTGTGGACCGTGGGCTTCAGGAAGAGCAGGCAGGGGTCAGTGGGCCAGCCCGTGGTGGGGACCTGAGGGCCCCAGAGAAGGAGAGCCACAGACCAGGGTCCCCAGACCCCCAGTTCCTCCGGCACACAGGGACATGGGACCCTGATTAGGCCAGGCCTGTGAGCCCTGAACATGTGCTGAGTCACCGCATGGGCTTCCGGTGGACTCTCCACATTGTCCGCATCTTGATCTGAATCACTAGGCCTTCTTGCACCCAGGGTATGGCCTCCTGAGCTCTGGCCCCCTCCTGAGGCACCTGGGGAGGGGGCTGAGCCAGGGGCAGCGGATAAGCATCTGCCAGCACACGCCCGGCCCGGTACACCCAAACAGGCTGCTCCCGTGAGCTCTGGGAACCTGCATGTTGGAGCAGGCTGTAGGTACGGCTTCGCAGGGCCATAGGTACAGGTGCGGGTAGGTTGGCCTCCCTTCCCAGCTTCAGGTTTGCGGGCCTCCCTCGTGCCTGGCCAGGAGCAGGTACCGGCACAGGGTGCTAATGGTGGCTCTCACATGCACGGAGCTCCGCTCACATGCGCGTCCCCCACGATCAGAGCGGGCCTTCGCGGGTGAGGTAGGAGCCTCAGCTGTGTGTTATAGGTTAGGCAAGAGGAGCTCCAGAAGGTTCTCTCTGAATCCAGGAACCATGTTTACCCTCCCCCACACATGTGGCCCAGACCAGCCCCCTTCTGCCCCAGCTGGGGCTATCAGGGCAGGAAAAGGGAGGCCCTGAAGATGGGGATCTGGAGGACCAGTGAGAGCCCCCAGGGCTTCCTGAGATAGGGGCAGGGTCCAGCCACCTGGGAAGAGGGCCCCGGATGCACTGGGGTGAACGTGGGCACTCGGGATCCGAGAAGCCTCGAGCCAGACACAGCAGGAGCAGGGCGACAGCCCCTTCGGACACACTCGCACACGCACGTGCGTGTGCAAATACGCGTTCTCCTGTCACACGCACCAAGCCCTCAGT